TTTTTTTGGTTACTATCTAACAAGGAGAAAATAAATGCCCCACCCCTGAAACAAATTGTCATTATTTTTAAAACAAACAATTTTTTTTTCTACAAAAATATATATTGGACTAGGGAGGTGAGAACCTAAATCAACAAGCAATGCAAGTACCACACAGAAAACAGTAACAGAAAATGATGAACGAATAATGTCTCTAAAATAAAACTATAAAGTTCAATGAATTCATGTATGCAGTTGCTAAAATCTTCAAGGTCAATATGAAGGTCATTCTAGTATTTGATTTGTTTACATGTACTTTATCAGTGTTGTTTAGATTAGAACACCATTGCTGTTATCAATTAACAATTGTTTTGAAAATTTCTTATCATGGTTTCAATCTTGATAACATTGGTTGTAAACACATGACATTTACACCGGCACAAACAACATTACATCGGCACAAACAACATTACATCGGCATTATAATTTTAGCATCTGTCCCATCAAATTTTTGTTACGGTATTACTGAGGTCGATGTACAAATCACAAAATCGTAGCAAAGAGGGCCAAGTAGTACTACCAAATGGAAATGAGTTTTACGGTGATGTGGAATGACTGGCAGTGAAAAATTATGAGTACATTGATACTTAAAGTGGTTGTTAATGTACGAGTCTATGCACAAACTGATAATGTCTATTTCAAGGTAGAATGCTACTTAACAGCTCCTAGAGTAAACAAAAATAGGTGTAGTACATGTACATATGTATATTTTGTCTTTATGCCATTGGTTTATGTACGGATGAAATCAGCAGTATTATTGTTACTACATATCGCATCAATTTTGGACTTCACAAATTTTTTTTTGTGCTCATTTCTTTCCCATCACTACCTCTACCACTTGCCAGTTACAGTCACATGCACAACTGTAGTTAAAATTCTCGCTGCCTCTACCCATAACCACCTGTAGTAGGTTCACTTTCCACTTTCCTACTCGCGCCTCATCTACTGACCATTAACCTTTTCACCGCTAGACTTCCTCGCTCAAATTTTTAATTTTTCTGCAATTTTTTACTCCCGTGTGCGAAGCACAAAAAGGGAGTCTTTGTAGTTAGTCTGTGTGTATGTATGTGTGTGTGTGTGTGTG